CTACCATACTCCAAAATTGTAAGAAGAGAAGACCGCCGCATTCCTCGGCTCGTATGATCATCTTGATAGAAATTTTTTCCGAATTGAATGAAGTTGGCCTTGTGACAATTTCAAAAGGAAGCGGTTCAAATCGAAAGATCGCAATTATGATTTAACTCCTATGTACTCTCTGTAAAAGCTATGTCTATGTATCGAAAGATAGCACCTTTCTATAAATTACGAATTATCTGATCGAGTTAAAGACGAAAATCTACTTGATCGTTCAAGCCGGTACGTGAAATGCTTTGGAAACCACACAGTTGCAATAGGAACAGCACAATAGGAATTTTGATGTTCAGAAAGAAATCATAGACTTCAAGTCGAAGCTAAAGTCGTTTCGGACAAACACCGAGTGTGGTAAAAATACTCACTTGAAAAACCTAACCTGGAACCTCGAACTTTATATATGCTTCCGAATCGCACCAAAACATAGGAGGCTAAGACCTTTCTGTCAGTTTGAAACTCCTGAGTGCTCATATCGTTACAACCGATTTGCGGAAGATGCGTTTTCTGTATATCGAGAATAGGAGTTGGTTTATACTATATTTGCTATTCCTCGGCTATAGAAGCCGCTTCGTTTGCTATTCTTCGGCTATAGAAGCCGCTTCGATCTGAAATTGGTACATGCCAACAAATTCATCCATTTCGGAAAAATGTTATCAAAATGATCAGTACAATATCAGAAATGCGATGGTTTACTCTTCGTTCGCTCTGGAATATGTTAGCTACATACTCCTCAAACTCGATGAAGACATTCGATCTAAGCGAATGCCTTTTGGTTATAACTATAGTGAACGTCGCTGTTAATGAACTTCGATGAAGCGAAAGCTTCAGAATTGCTCTTCCAAGTTCTCTTTGCGACATTTTGCAAAGCTCGACAAACAGAGGGTAACATTCTCCATGAGAAAGTCTTAACCACCTTGTTATAGAGGAAAAGCAGAAAAAGCGGAATGACTTTTTTTCGTGACTTCCTGATCAACTGTTGTGGGTGTTATAGTTGACTCTACAGCATATTTCTTTGTGATTTCGGAACAATGGTTCACGATGATAATACTCCTGTGCCTGTTAAGAATTTTAGGTGGAACGGCTCACTGATTTTTAAGTTGATCTTTCCAAACCGTTCGTTTCCTTCGAAGGTGTAGACGCAGCTCAAGATATGCCTTACCAACCGAGAAGCGCTCAAATCTGTTCTGCAAATCTGGCGACGTTCAGAATTCATTTAAGCGTTACACGGAGCCTAAAGAGGCCCTGACAAGATACCACCGTTCAAGCGGACGAAATCAGCTTCGGCCACTGGCTACGGTCTGTAGCGCAGAAGGCTTCATGTTGTCTCTTTTATACTAGAGATATTAGGGGAGAGTACGACGTAGTTTTACGAAGCAGCTGCTCGCAAAGTGGTATGGCTGTAAGACGCTAGTTTGTTATTGTCAGATTTTCGCTTCTCGTTCTAGCATTTTTTTAGTAATCCTAAAGTAACCCATTTCCTCTTCTCCAGATATCCGTCTCTTGCTTTAATACGGTACGCCTCATACGGAAGCTGTCGCCATTATGCTCCTCAATTTATGCCGGCCAGGCGTCATCATCAAGTAGAGAGCCGAGTCAAACCAGCTGTGCGCTCTTTGATCCGTAAATTGGTTGTCTTCATTTCTCTCCGGAGTCAGCATATTGAACATGTCCGAGATCCCATGGGGGACCATGCCTATCAGTGTGCAATCACCTATTTGTGAAGATACATGTAGCAAGCATTGGTTATGCACTATTTATCGTGGATCCGGTTTCGAACAAAAAACTGCTTGACGCTACTTTTCAAGGAGGGTGTAGGATGTTATTTGTATGACCGGGCAACTTCAAAAGCCACTTCCATGCTTTGAAGAAGGCGGATTTGCCGAATGGCTAGCCTTTAAGGTATATGTTAACCCCATGTGAAGTTGTATTAGGAAAGTGACTTTAATTTTAACGTCGAATTTTACCTGGAGCCGCACGTGGAAGTTGTTAAGAACATTAACTATTTCGACAATATCTTGCAAATTATGTAGGAATCTTTAAACACTCGGAATTACTGTGGAGTCTTNTGTTCGTAAAAAAAAATCCAAATTTCTGCTCAGAAAACGTGGTACGATACGCGTTCTTACTGAAATTCACCGATTTCAATATCCTGAATTCCTCCATTGTATTCCATGAATCTTCATTAATTTCAGGTTCCTCTCTATAGTCAACACAATTCTCAACTTTATATTTCATGCACAGTTCCGTCGTCAAGTAGCAAGGCTGGTCCACATGGAGTAAGTCGTTCTAGAGCAGCTAAAAACTTTGTGGAGCTGAAACTTTGTAGCATGACTTGAATTTTCTCAAAGCTTTTCCGAAATTCTGAGAAAAATATGTAAGAAGCAAAGAATTTTTGTAAAAAAGCTTTTCCTGGGTTGTCATGCCATATATAAAGCCCTCTCGTCTATCTGTCTAATTCCACGGGAGTTCGATATTAGCTGGTGAAGCACCTTCAAAAGTCGGGTCAAGTGAGTGAAGAGATGGGTATAGTGCAAGACAGAAAAGTACCATCACCTCTTACCTGTCGTCCCGTTGAACATCAATTTCCTCGAGCGGGCGCCAGTAGCTTTTCCGTCCGCCCCTGTTGCGAGCCGGAGTGATCCATTGATTCGTCCTCGCTTGAGGGACACGAGGCCCTGCATTCCTTTCGTTCAGAGCCTTCCTGAAGAAGTCTGACCATCGTATCACCATCAAATCGTATCGTCTCTATCGTACGGTCTTTTATCTTAAATATTTGTACGTATGGTCCTCTACTTATGGTCCTCCCACTATTTTTTTGTGAGGTACACCCTACCTTGGCGTTAAATGGTACATGAAAGGGGCATTTCAAATATAATGATCAAAATCAATAAGAAATGCGTTCTATCATTTTCAGAAGAATATCCAGATCTTCCTGAGCGAATAGTCGTTTGACGACCGTCCAATCTGTTATCTCCTCTGAAGCTACCTGAAAACAACTATCTCACCTAATTCAAACGTTTTATGAAAGCATCGTGCTATGAGACACAAAACCCTCGCTATCCTGTGATCTTCACTCATCTGACCTCGTTTTTAGTGTATTCAATTTTGCAATCAGCATTTTGCATTTTTTAATCAATCGGAATGTATGGGAGAATGTATTTATTTCAAAATAAATTCTTGTTGACTAATGGTGTTGTGCTCGATTGAAATGATGGGACTTGTGATGCAGAATATGTAGTGTAATCATGGTGGAGAAATTGCGAAAATGGGGTGTTTTAGGAAATACAAGGCTTTAAAAAAGTAGTACCAGAAGGGCTGTACGACATTACGTGTCTGTCACCGTCTGATGTCTCCCACACAAGCGAACTATTCGTGGCGTCCTAACTCATCATTGTGAATGTTGCTTCTCCAACAGGCCGTCAAATCTCGTCCAGTTTTGGCTGTGTACGTCGGCCATTTCAGTTTTGGAGCCCTTTTAAGGCTTGTCGAGGTCGTTGTTGAACCGGACGGTATCCACATGCTATCCTTGCAGGCCACAAATTCTCATAGCAGGCAATCTCTAAAGTCATTTTTATCGTTAGCTGCGCCTTTGATGTAGTCATTTACGAGCGCTGTAGTTTTATCCATATACTAAGTCACGCGAGTCGCGTGTGAACTAATTTGTTTGAAAAACGGAAAAAAAAACAAGGACAGCTTCCTTCCGACATGGTTATAGTACGATCTGAAGAATTTGAAGAGTACACTAGCCATGTAATTAAGTTGGTCTTCTAAGAAGAATCAGTCAAATCAGTCAAATCTCTATTCTGGAACAGTATTCTGAGGCATAGTCTGATGTTTGAAGAGATATGTCTGAGAAGATAGCGTTGGATCCTATGAACCTAATCTGGAATTTGCTCAATCCTTTGCAGGACTTTTGTGACTGACGTGATCCATAATAAGCACTTCTTCTGTAGTGCGGAACTGAGCACCAGGGAGCAGCATAGACTGGGAGTTGATCCCTTCACATGCCTATGTAATTCATTCTGAAATGTATACTATTGAATTTCAGATTAGATCAAATTATTCAATAGCACAAGGACCATCCTCGAACACCGTTCTTCTTCTATTTCCTGCGTTAAGTCCTCAACTGACCGGTTACAGTATACGGACCGAGGTTATGCTTCTCTACGCTATGCACGGTAACCATGCTCGTCTGCGCTTTTCGTTTTGCCTTAATGGGATGTTCTTTACTGACGATGAATACGGTTCTTATAAAGTTATAATACTTATATAGCTCCACAATCTTCAACAATGTTCTCTGAACATTACGCCGCTTCTAAAAAGGGTTTGAGGAACACAGTAGAAGTGTCCCTAGTAGAGTGGTAGGTGCGGAGGCGAGCTGTGGAAATTCAGACTTGCTGATCGCTCTTCATCGATCCTTTAAAAGAAGGCTTTTCTCATTTTGTGCCACCCACTAGTCTCGTCAATCGCAAACACACTGACGCTCCGCTGGTGTGTGTCCATGGTAACGCTGCGCCGTGTTCAGCAATCATATGGAAAACGATCTACCCCGGTTACCCATTAGCCATGACCCCAGCTCGAGGTGGCCTTCTGGTGACTTTATTAATTTGTCTATCAGGTCCATGTTCTGGGCAATACTCTCAGACGTTGGCTGTCCCTTACATGGTGGAGAGCAATTGCACAGGCAATGAGTATTTCAACGCTCGCACTCTGAGGTAAGTTCAAGATGAGAATGTTCTTTATACCTCGAGTTACAAAAGAAGTATTTCATTTCACTGTTCTCAGTGCTGCCATTTATGGAAAATGCTTGCCGAATAATAATATAAAAATTGAGAGATAAAGTTTAGAAGTATTCGACTATTTGTCTGCAGTTACGCTAGACAGACCCGTAAATGGCATAGGTTCAAAACCAGGCATCTCTCACCGAATTCAAATTAGTTTTGTGATTGACAGCTGACAGATAACAATAATTTATGAGAGTATTTCACTACAGTATTATTGACTAGAAAATGCTGCTTCCAAAGGCGTATATCACCAAAGACGCTGTCATGCTGCGGCACTTTCGGTGTAGTCAATATTTTCGAAGAGATCTAGAAGCGAGGAACAGCCTCTGGTTCTTCCCTCTTATTCTACAGTGAAAAATCAAGTCAAGAAAGTTGTCGTTTTTTTTTTTGAGAAAAACGCCTGCTAAAGAATCGCCCCATACTTGTGATTCTAACATCGAGCTCTTTATTCTTTACCACCACCAGTTCCCATTTGCCCTCGCTTTATCAAGGCCTTATATGCTACGACTGAACAGTACTCACATTTTCAACGTGGTGAGCTGGTCAGTCAATATGGGCGTGAGAAAAGCGGGGCGAGCTTGTTATTACTTATTATATTTGTTTATGTGTGGTATAGGTGTTAATGTTGGTTAATCTTTGCAGATATTGGTATTACTGTATTATTTTACTATTTTTTCTATTCATACTAAGTCATATCGCTGAACAGCCTTATGAAGTGACTCACCGTAAAGCCTCCCATGTCTGATATACTAGGTCATCAGATATGTGTAAGAGGTGCAGGTGAGAAATAGAATATTTTGGTGTTTTAGCTGTCAACCTTGCCTGGCAGATACTGTACCATCAACATCCAAATTATCTTGTGAATGTCCACCTGGATCTATCATCCTCGAAATCACACCCGTTGGAATCCAATGTCGAGCTTGTCCAACAGGTGAGATCGTTGTGTAAATGAAAATAGATTTTTTTATGAGTAGTGCCTACAGTGGAGCACACAAGTAAAAAATTCTTCCTTGTGATGGCAGCAAGTAAGCCCCTTTGAGTGTCGATAGGCTATGGTATTGAATATACCATCCATGATTGATTCTGGAGGTCGTGCAGGAAGTGTTATTACTGAGAAGAATAAGTGTGATGCCCAGAAAAGTAGGTGCCAGTATGAGTACATTTGGTATACTTCTCAGGCCACCTTGGTTGTAGGTGGGAGGAGCATTTCTCAACTAACGATGAAGGAACCTGCTCAATAAACCCTCACAGCAGCTCCTAAAAGTTAGGCAGTGCATTCTAAAGACATACAGGGATATATCATGACTCTGAGATTGAACTGAGCCTTGATCACTGAATTCAGGTCTGTACGCATCGCCCTCATCGCTGGAATGCATTTCATGTCAAACACCACCGTGCTGCCCAGCTGATTCTATCTACAGAACTCGGAATGCTGATGGATCGAGTCTTCTTGCAGCTAGTAACACAACTGCTGCTCAGAATGGCCAATGTTTCACCTGTGTCGAAGGTACTCTAAGCGCCAAGAATTACCTTAACTTTATTCAGTTGTCAGAGAAGCTCGAGGTAGAAATCTTCTCAACGAGCAACGGAAAAAGACATCTGTAAGAGGGAATGGAGTCAATGACCTCTGAAAAACCTAAATAGCGCTATATCATGCTTACGGTCAGATTTTAGGGACACAACCTAATATTGACGGCACAATCTGCCAGCCATGTGGAACACTAGACTGCTTCTGCAAGGTGATTATATTATATATTAGTATATTATATTACTTACAACTTGATGTAGAGCGTAAGAACTAAGTACACCATCGCATGGAGACAAACCATCTTGAGAACAGGCACGCTACCTCAAAAAATTTGCTAACTCTCTGATTCTTAGGGTAACCCTTCAATGTGTCAGTCAGCACTGGTGTTGTCCCCAGTGGATCCGACGATTCACCTGTTGTCTGGAGTAGCCGTCAAATCGGGCTTTGTAGCTGACACGTTGGAGCCGGCGGCATCCAGATGCAGTGCGGGTAGTGAAACTCATTGCCAGGTATTCATTATTCTCATTTTACTCGTCTCTGTGGTGATACCTTGGTAACAGCCGAATTTTAGGCTCTTGCTAACCTCTGTGTGCTCCAAAATTTCGACACCTCTGATGGAACGGCTTGCGACGCTCTCGATAATATCAAGAGCCGTCAAACAGAGTAGATCTTAAAAATAGTTGTTCGTGCTTATTCTTCCGACAGTCTCATGCTTTAGAGCCCCAGCACCGACGCTTTTCTTCCTTGGGGACACTGATACTGAGCTGCATCGGGATCCTGCTATTTTACAGCGGTTTACTTTCGGCAATGATCCAACTGGCGTACTAGACATCCTTCTCACGCGGTAGGCAATAAATCAAGAAAAAATTGAGTCTCACTGTCACGTTAAGAATAAGAAAAACAAAGAGAACTACCGAATCATCGAGGTAACCGCAACAATTTTAGGTATGCACTTAATGGAACATTTCTGGGAATATCGAAGGCTAGCACCGTTCTGCAGCAATGTGCGTATTCTGAAATCAATCACGCTTTCCAGTTTGGTAGAAGGTATAGTGAGATCATATTCCTTTCGTTTACGAGCTAGAAACTTTACAACATCGTTTTCATGCTGGTTGTCCAGCTCAGTGGCTTCCATTCGGCTATGACACCCTAAATACTCGAGAAGAAAATTGTTGGAAGTTTTGCTGTATATATTTTTTTGTATCATATTACGAATTTGACCATGAGCTTCGGAGCCAGATTGATGGAACACATATTTGCAGTAGTTAAGCTGTAATTTACATGTAGTAGTACCAACTTCAATGCTCTGACATTGAATGCAAAGTTGACATCCCCTCTTCGCTTACCTAGTGAGCTTAAAGGTACAATTCACGTTAGAAATGGCTTCTAATTTTTATTCCTAGGACACTCCTGTAACCCCCTCAAATAGCACGAGAGGCGCTCTCGGGTCGGAAAAGATCAAGATGGAGCCTAAAAGCGGCCTCAAACACTTCTCAGTCGACGTATACTCCAAACGGACTACTCCCCACAGCGTTGTAGGAGCTGTAGAGATTGTTCCATTCGCAAAGGGACCACATGTTGCACGTAGCTTACTATAACCAGCTAAGCTAAAGCAGCTATACTCAATAGCACACGCATTTGGACAGCCCGTCCAAATTCCCTTTCATACGACTTCTGTCGTCACATTCTCGTCCCACCCTGATTTAACTACCTTTTCAAAGGCTCTTCTTTCTCTGAATAGGCCGATTTTCGCGTTCACTTCTTCACTTTTGCCCTATTATCAACTATCACTTCCATCATTCGTCTAAGACTAGACAACTCAAAATACGTGAATGTTCTCTGAATATAATAGGAGAATTTAGAATAAGCACTTTACAATATTCCTTTTCTTCGTGTTCATGAATGTTTGTCTGCATCCGTCCACCACCCCTGCTCCTACCTAAGGATGTGGGTGTATTCCTGAACAGAAGACTAACCTGAGTTCCCCTACTTGTAACTTTTGACATTAAAGTTTGGTTTAGCATTATGACACCAAACCTCCAAATGGCGCGACAGCTGCAGAAGTAAGGGTCGCATTAGCTATTGGGACAACTAATCATATGCAGGAATTTCTGAAAAACAATTAGTCTGATACTGTAACAGCTACCTCAATATGTGAAGGTAAGCGGTCAAGAGATTGAGATTCACTGGTTCAGTTCTGCTGCCAGCAATCAAGAGGTGCAAAAATACGTCTCGAGAAAAAAAAAACTAACTAAAAAGATTGGTAGTAAATGGAGACTAGACTTTAGGTACAACTTTGGGTGCGACTTGACTATAGCTCAGCTAACAAATGAAGGAGAAATGGAGTTCTTCGAAGCGTTTTTGAAGTTCTTCGACAATAATGGAGTGCCTCAGGTTAGTTAGCAGAAAAGAGGTCTATACGAGAGATATTTTTCCCTACCGAGAGCCATTTCATTAAAAAGTGGGTAGATTGACTACCAACGATGCACCGAAGCTGGAGTAAGCACCGTCCATCAAAAGTTACTTTCTGAGTCCAAATCAGGTCAGGTAATTCATTTGACTCCATCCATCATGCGATGAAACGGGCCTCATTCAACCGGGCTTGCTAAGGTAGACTACTTGGGAGCCCAGTTCTAGGATACCGAAGCTACGAATATTGGCAAGAAAGATAGAATTTTGCTTATAACTTGGATGTGCAGCACCTCTTACTTCCCTTGGGCAGTACTAAAGCTTTCGTTGAAGTTCCGAAGGGAGATAGAGTAGCGCCTTCAGCAAGGAAGAGCAAAGCGGTCGAGGCGATTAATGTAATGATACCGAAACCTCCACTAGGGCACAGCTTGCTTCATCTTATTCTAATTGATACATGATTTTTTATAACTCTTAGGCATGCTTGTTTTTCCTGTTGGTCCTATTCCAAAACTTTTTCAGCTTCATCCTATTCCAATACTCAACAGCCTCATCCGATCGGCTACCGGCACTCAGCTGAATCTGCTGCCTCAAAAATCCAACAGTTGGGTCCTAACAAGAAGATTCTTCCTTGGTGACGACGTCAGCCTCACTTCCACGAACTCTTCTCCTATCATACGCTACGCGAAAAATATTGAGATTTCCGTCGAACTGCAAGTGAGAGGAGATTTCCAAGATATTCATTCAAAGGGCGCTTACAGTCACAGCTCGTGATAATAATGATTTGAAGCATCTAACTAGTGTGAAGTTATGACTCTTGAGAAAGCCACATAAAATATTTCTGCGCTAGAACCTAGAATGAGAGCAAGAAGGGCACAATATGTACCCTTTCGGCCACCCACTGCCTGCTGTTATCGAGAAGGACATGTCAAACGATCTGTCGAAGGCTCGGAAAAGAGCTGCAGGAGGAAGGAAAGATGTGTGTTGAGCATCTTTCGGTGAATGTCAACAGCTGGAAGTTACAAACGTTACTATGGTGTCGCCTGTGCACCTCCTTTCCTTCTTGAAGCCCGTACAAGCCGAGAAATGGGCAAGTTTGAGAAGGGTACTATTTCTTAAAATTTCTGCATGTGAATGCTGCTAATAAAAAGATAAAGTTCTTTGGCGTTTATCATTTCTGTGTGAGGGATAAATCGCGAATTCGACTTCCAATCGGATCGTAGCATACAATAAGTTGCGGTGGTCAGCCGACGTACAAGTCAGTGCTTTTATCCTCCCAAACGAGTCTGGTACCAATCAACCGACCCGAGATGGTTTGAGGCCTGGTTGGCTCAGCCGGGTATCAATCCAGGGTTTGAACCAGTGACCATACATGTGTGACAGCGCGTTACTTGATACTATACCACCTCGACAACACAGTAATGACAAAACAGATTATCGCTGATTGTGCCTTGGAGTCTTTTCCTTTTTTTCAAAGAACTTCCTTCATGAGATTGTAGTCAAATTACAGTTGTTCGAAGTTGACCATGTTCATGTTCGGAGTAGACAGACAATGTTCAAATCGAAACTTATCAACTCAATTTAGACAACTCGTGACGGATTGATTTTTCCACCGTTTATAAGCATCGACTATGCTGAAAGTAATGAGAACAGCAGTGCTGTCGTCCGGCAAAACCTCAGAGTCACCTACACAACCGATCCAACACGTCACAATCGGGTAAGCTGACAGTTTTCCTACGAACTTCCATGCCATTGAGACTTCGTTTCACTCATAGGTGACCCCAAAGTGGCAATGAGGCCCCATACAAATCTTTTTTTTTCTTATAAAGTTGAAAAGAAATATTATGCATGGTGACAGTTGATAAGAGAGCCCTGTTCAAAACCTTTCTTTTTCACTTCTCTCTTGCACTTATTTTTGAGGCTTTCTTGTACGAAAACTTGTCTGGGGCTACTTTTTATATCACCAGTGCAACGCTCTTGACCATCCTACTATATATAATTCAACCAGTCGGATCGCCCAGCTAACACCGGGCTCTCCTCCTTCTTATGTAAAGCCCGGCTACGCCGGGCATCCCCCTTTTAATGTAATAGGAACATAGATTTGTACAAACAATCTGGCATTTCCTTTCGATCAATATAAAATGAAACTATTTTATTCTAATAATGACTAACACTTTTTATCACTAAGAATCTTTGTGACCTGAGTTCATACATTACAAAAATTTTGACCCACTTAAAAGAATCAGACTTAGTGAGACGGTCGAAATTGCTTCACACCCGCGGAGTGATAAATTTTCTTACCTTGCCTTGCCAAAGAAAATAGCCTTACAGCCTTAAATGCCTTACAGAAGTATAATGGCATTAGGGCCATAATAATCATGCGACGCTTATTTCTTTGAAACTTCCGTTTCACATGAAAAGTTATAGTTCAGTATGAACCGTGCTTCGTGTTCAGTGAGAACCGCATCCTCCCGGAAGTATCGTCTAGGGGAGTTCAAAAAACGCATGTTTAAAAACAGATACCGTTCCGGAATTTTGGTTTAAATTGGGGTTAGATTTACCGATGC